GATCAAGTAAATGTTTTGCGATACCTTTGTCGAAGCAAGTCTAAAAAGACCCTCCTCTAAGCGTTTAGCAGCAACCATATACTTTGCATCATCAGACGGAGATGGTTTCCATTTCTGTAGCTTGCTGAAGCTGGAAAGAATGGAAGATCATCGGTTAGAAACACGATTCTCCTCCATGAACCAACCATCAAGGAAACCCTCAATGGTTTAAGGTATATCAAAAACAAGACTAGAATCCAAATAAGTAACATTTCAGAAGAAGAAAACACTAATCAAAATAAAGCAAATATTGCGGGAATACAGAGCCAAAACCAGTAGTAAGTTTGATTATTCCCAACTGAAGGCTTACATAGTGATTTGCATGCACTGTCGAGTTTTAGTACATTCTGAGGATCCATGGGAACAATAGGGTTACGTGAAAGCCCTAAAGCAACACCAGCAGAAGCATAATTAGTAGCAAGTAACACCAAAGACAAGCAAAGCAAATCTGAATCAAACAAAAGAAGCAATATTAGCAAGGAGATACCTGAATGATCGAAAATTTCTCAGCTTGGGGAGGTTTTGGAGCTCGTAGTTTTTCGAATTTAGGGGTTGTTCAGGGTGATGGATGGATCTGGGGAAGAGTCTAAGATATTTATTTTGGTCCTGACCGTCCAATCAAATTAATTAGTGATTTACAACTTTACTCTTTCTACTTCTTTGTTTCTATTTTGGGACTTGTCCTGATATTTTTTGTTTTTGTATCGACACTGAGAGTGGTAACTGCATTGAATTATACCATACAGTACTTTCATATCCCAAGCTCTTGGTATGGTATGGTATGACCCATACCGTATGTTCCAACTCAAACCGGAAACAAAACCAAAACCGGTTTTACCATCGGTATGAACTTACAAACAATACAGCTAACAGTGCACAAGGTGAAGAAGCATCTTTATTTGTAACACAGGCAACGAAAATGTGTCCCTGCATCAATTAGGCAAATGACCTGCGGATAAAGAATCAGCGGTAGAGGCTCTCCGACCTCAGATTCTCTGCAATCTCTGTCTCCCACCGATCTCCATTCTCAAGAAGCTTCTCTTTGTCATACAAAAGTTCCTGCAGACCAAAAAAGAATCAGAATGCCATTTATTGAACAACACACATCTTAACTTCAGGGGCAATCATGTCTATTTGAAGTGTTTATATACATACCTCATGTGTCTCAGTTGCAAACTCAAAGTTGGGTCCTTCGACGATTGCGTCAACAGGACAAGCTTCTTGGCAGAAACCACAATAGATGCACTTTGTCATGTCGATATCATACCTGTACAACTCCGAATCATCACTTCACTATGAAATGTGTAGAACCAGAGAGACAAGACGGAAACAGGAAGAAAACATATGATAGATGAAGTAGGAGAGCTTAAAGGGTTACCTAGTTGTTCTGCGGCTTCCATCTTCACGTTCCTCTGCCTCTATCGTGATTGCTTGAGCTGGACATACCTGATGATAAGCATCAGTCAAAAATCCCAATTTGAGACGAATTGTGATATCATGGTGTTCACAGATTACGAATTCGCTAGCATAAATTTCGAAAACTCACAGCCTCACAGAGTTTACAGGCAAGCAGCGTTCTTCCCCAGTTGGATATCTTCGAAGAGCGTGTTCACCACGGAAGCGAGGGCTCAACGGACCCTTCTCAAAAGGATAATTGATCTGCCACACAAGTTACAACTTTAGAATCATAATATAACTTCAGATAATATACTTCTTTCAACCTAAGTAGTAAGCACTAAAGTCTGGGAAGACGGCCACTCACTGTAACTTTTGGATCAAAGAAGTACTTGAGGGTCAGCGACAAACCCCGGACCATTTCAGTGAGAAATAGGGTGTTTATGCTCCGTTCAAAGACTGTAAAAGTAAGAAATATCAGGAATCGTTAACACTAAATGAAGGAAATGACTGGAGAGGAAAAATAAGAGAGACGAAAGGTAAAACTGTAGAGGATAAAATAGCTTACCAGTACTCCAGTCCTTGGAGATCTCCTTAGAAAGTTGCTCAGCTTCTTCATCATCTGCATGATACAGAAGCAAACTATTAGTCATAATACATACGCCTAAAAAAGCCACAAACCGGGTTAACGAATAATTTGTATACACAATGCTGATGCTCCTGAGTAGAAAAAAGGTAAATCCCACTTAAAGCTAATAAACCACGAAAATCCAGACAACAGCAAGAAAACATACCTTTTTTGGTGCCGTACGATATAGCACGGGACTGTAGCCCACATAGATGAGATCCCTGTAAAGCTTGCCCTGAAAAAACCTATCAAGAAAGACAAGGCAGAGGTTAAATACGAGAAGAATCCAATAAGCATACCCACCAAAAGAAGCTAAAGAAAGTAAAAGCTAACTACCACAACACTCTCTCAGTTATTTGCAGAGATTGAGCTAACAACATTATGGCGACCCATTCTACCTTAAAGGAAGTGTAATGATCTACAGGAAAAATGAAGCCTAAATCTACCCTCTCTAGGTACATGTAAAAATCAATGCTATTACAATAAACTAAACCACCCCTAAATCTTGGAAGACAACACAAATTTCACAATAAGTCAGAAATTCAACAGATTCATTTCAGTTCCGATCCCAAATACCACCAACGATAGACAAAAAGTTGCAGACTAAAATGGAAAAATTAAAAAGCCAACGAGATTCGTACGAGATGTCGAGCTCGGAGAGCATCGAATGACCTGCGAGCCAACAACGAAGCCATCGATGGAGCTCCAAATATCAAATTAGGTTCTTCTTCGCTGTACTTGATG